CCCCGCCCCGCCCCGCCCCGTCCCTGCCCTGCCCTGCCCAGCCCACCTGGCTGGAATCTGTCTTTGCCTGAACTTGTCACATCAAAGGGAAGCAGAAGACTCCGGAGGCCATAGCTCAGGCTTGGTGGATCTGCTTTGCCATCTCTCCAGGCCTCAGTTTACCTAGCCCCCAGCGATCAGATGAGACCATGGCTGCAGAGATGGATCTAGTTTGGGCACCCAGTAGGGATTCAATTAAACATACAGCTAAGCCACCTGCCAGTGGCTCATGCCTGTCATCCTATCTACTCCAGAGGCTGAGATCTGAGGATCATGGTTCAAAGCCAGCCCAGGCAGGGAAGTCCGTGAGACTCTTATCTCCAATGAACCACCAGAAAACAGGAAGTGGCGCTGTTGCTCAAGTGTTAGCACCAGCCTTGAGCTGAAGAGCTCAGGGACAGCGCCCAGGCCCAGAGTTCAGGCCCCACAACTGACAAAAACAAACAAAAACCCCACACAACTGAGGCAGTATCTGGGGGCGGGGGCAGCCCCTCCCCCAGATCTTCTCCAGAACAGTTCCCGGCTGGCCGCAGGCCTTGCAGTCAGGCAGATGGGGAGGACTCTTGCCAGACCCTTGCTGGCCCAGGGGACACTTCCATCTGGCTGCTTGGCTCTCTAGCAGCCCCATGTCCTTACTCAGCACCTCCTGCAGCCCCTCCTGCAGCCCAGCCTGTCCAGGCTGTTAGCCCGTCCAGCCCCGCCACTGCCCCTGCGGGGGGCGGGGCAGAGCTGATGCCCACCTCCAACAGGCTCCTGACCCCGCAGAGCCCAAGGAAGAGCAGTGCTGCTCGTGGCTCAGGCGTGGCGGGCAGCCCCCACCTGTGTCTCCGGGCCAGCTCTTTCACTGTGAGCATCAGCACTGCCCGCCAGCTTTGGGCTCTTGGGCGGGTCCTGCTGTACCTCGATTTCCCCACATGCATATAACATGTAGGTAGGCAAGGTGACTCAGTGCTACCTGTGGAACTGTTTGGGGGACAAAGGGAGGGGGGAAGAGAACGATGGTGGGGCTAAGACTTAAGTCCCCATGTCCAGCGTGAAGAGACATTGGGTCTGCTCTGTGACTCAGTTTCCCCACTGAGCACTCGGATTCGGGTTTGTCCTGAGGCTCAGTCTCCCCACCAAGTGCTCAGACTCAGGTCTGTCCTGAGACTCAGTTTCCCCACTGAGCGCTCAGACTTGGGTCTGTCCTGAGACTCAGTTTCCCCACTGAGCACTCAGACTTGGGTCTGTCCTGAGACTCAGTTTCCCCACTGAGCACTCAGACTTGGGTCTGTCTTGAGGCTCAGTCTCCCCACTGAGCGCTCGGATTCAGGTCTGTCCTGAGACTCAGTTTCCCCACTGAGCGCTCAGACTTGGGTCTGTCCTGAGACTCAGTTTCCCCACTGAGCGCTCAGTCTTGGGTCTGTCCTCACAGCGCTACTTCTGTCCCAGACCTGCCTCGTCTTTTCCCCAGTAGAGTCAGCTCTTCCAGCCCGGGCCTTGGAGACTGGCCCTCTGTACTGGAGGTGGGGTTTTTGTGAGGCACGGGGCAGGCACCACCTCTTCCAGAAGCCCCTGCGCTTTCCAGCTGAGACAGCCTCCTCTGGGTCCCTCCCTCGCCCCCCTCCCCCGACCCCTCCCCCGCCCCCCTCCCCCGTGATTCGGCATCTGAACTGGGCTCTGCCAGCCGGTAGGCAATAGTTAGGGACCCGGGCAGGGCCACCATGGCCTCTGGGGATGATCGAGCAGAGGCCCCCATGCCCCCGCTCACCCTCAGCACGCTGTCTCTGAGTCCACACAGCTGTGTCCCCTCCAGCCCTCAGGCTGCTTGTGGCCAGGGCTGCCGGGGCAGCTCCTCGCCACCAGCACCAAGCTCGGGGACCCAGCACGGGCCCGGTGGGCGCAGAGTCGGGGTGCTGGGCTGTGTGGGGGTGAAGTTGGACGGTCACCTGACATCCGCCATGGCGGGGGGCTGGCCCGGAGGACCCCGCCTGCAGGACCACCGAGGCACCGCCCACCGATGGGTGGACATAGCCTGCGTGGATCGCCTCCCCACCTAACGGTATGTGGGACGCGTGCCCTCCTGTCCTGCCCCACCTGGAGGCGGGGCTGCACTGCAGGTGGCACCCTGGGGACACCCCTCTAGCCCAAGATACCGCCTAAGCAAGAGATCCAGTAGCTGGAAAATGAGCCTCGGTGTCCGGGGCTGTGAGGGTGGGTGGCCATTCTGGCTGGAAGTGACCTCGGGTGCTGAGACCAGAGAAGGCCCAAGAGCACGCGGCAGGTCCGCCATGTAGGGCGGGAGGCCTGCAGACAGGCAGCGGGGGCAACGTGAGGGTTGGGGTCAGGGTGGACGGCACCTGCATCTCTGCGGAGGGAGAGGCGCTTTTGGCCCTGGAGGTCAGTTTGGACTATCCTCTGCGGAGGCCTGTCCCCTCCCCCCACTGGTGAAGACGTGAAGACAGACAGCCTTCCTGCCTCCTCTGGAGACCTGGCCACGCGGAGTCAGGTGACGGCAGCACCCAGCCCGCAGGGGAGCAGCTGGGACCCCGCCACCCTGCGCCGAGCCAGGCCTGTCCTGTCCCTGCCTGGACCTGGGCCAGCTCCAGCCCAGCCGAGTCAGTTGCTTGTCTCGGGGCTCAGGCCGGCGCCCCACGCTCCAGCTCTGGTCTGTCTGTCTGGGCTGGGCCGTGTATCGTGTGTGGAGTTGTCAGTGTCTGGGCTGCCCGTCTGTGCCTTCCACACAGGGAGGTGGCGCCACGCAGGGCCTGCGGCGCTGTCCTGAGGACAGGGCTGGCCGGCAGGCACCCCCTGACGCTCCCCCATGGGTATCTCATTTCCGGGCCTTCCAGGAAGGGGTCCTGCCCCTCCTTGGGGTCTAATGTGAACAATAGTGAGAATCGACAGCCCTTTCCTCCCCCCCCCTCCTTTGGTGCAGGGCCTGGGCATTGTACCTGAACTTTTTCACTTCAGGCTAGTGCTCTATCACTTGAGCCACAGCTCCACTTCTGGATTTTTGCTGGTTAGTTAGACAGAAGAGTCTCATAGACTTTGAACCTTGATCCTTAGATCTTAACCTCCTGAGTAGCTAGGATGACAGTCGTGAGCAACTGGCATTTGGATTCATCCCAATCCTAAGGCTCTAGTCTCAGGAAAGGTGTGCATGTGTGTGCACGTGTGCATGTGTGTGTGGTGGGGGGGAATGGCCAGAGCTGGTATCAACCTTGAGAGGGACAAGATGGTGTCTCTGGTTAGCACAGGTCAGGCTCAGTTCTCCCTGGCTTTATGAGCAGCATGCATATTGCTTTCCTAATGGGGACGACACAACTTTGTCTGACGACCGGGGACACCAGGCAGCTGCTCCAGTGGAGACTATGCTTGTGAAGTTGTCATTTGGGTTTATAAAAAGAAACATTCAGAGGACGCCTGCTAGAAAGTACATGAGTGTCGAGTTCTTCTTCGTCCCCTCTCCACCCCTGTGAAGCACTGGCCAAGGTTTCTTTCCCACTGGGTTGGCTCAGCAATGACCGGGGAGGGGCTTTGTATCTTCTCACAGCAGAGAACTTGACATGGCTCTTCAGGAGCGCAGCCTTCCCCGTCCCCTTCCCCCTTTGTGGGTACCCCCAGGAGTGGCTATGGGTGAGTCCAGTGGGGCTCAGCGGGGGCACGTGGGTCCTGCCAGAGCTTGTTGGGATGGTCCCAGGGGGGAGGGTAGGAGGTGGCCTGAGAGGTGACCTAGGGGACCCACTGTCCCAGGGCCCGGCTGGGTCTGATGTCTGACAAAGCAGCACCACCTGGTGGCCACCCTCACAATAGCAGGTGGGAGAATCAGGGCAGAGAGCTCTGGGTGGCCGTTCCTGGGGCTGGGGGCTGGGGGACCCTGGGCCCTGGGGAGGGTATGAGGTAGAGGGAGGGGGGAGAACCAGCAGTTCTGATGAGACCCCCTAGTGGAAGAGGCAACTGCCAAGGCCACCCCGCCACCCAAAGGAAGCTGGAATCCCTCAGCTCGGGGCCTGGCCCCAATGCTCCCTCGTTGGGTGCAGTGCAGCTGGGCTGGTGGGGGGGCAGGGGGAAGAGTGGGGCCGGCCTGGCCTGCTGGACATGCGTCCTGATGACAGCCCTCCCCCCAGCCCCCCTCCCGGCCTCATTCTCTTGCTCGCCATACCTTCAGTACATTCGGCATGGGGGAGAACAAGACTCGATCTCCCCGCTCTGTGTCTAGTCCTGGGGTTCCCAGGGCAAAAGCCACGGGGTGGGAAGGGTCTGCCTGGAGTCCCGGAGCATCTGACTACAGGTGGTCCCAGGGAAGCCCTGTGGTGGGGCGGGCTGGGGGAGGGCCGGCCACGCCCTAGACGCGGGCCATGGGCAGGGCCAGCCCACGCAGGCCCGGCTGGGTCTCCTCGCTCAGCACCCTGTGCAGGACCACCCTCAGCGCCTCCCGCCTCCCCAGCTGCATCCCCGCCAGCAAGTACAGGAGGGGCTTGCAGCTGCTGTCCACACAGGCCAGCAGGGTGGCCAGCGGGGGCAGGAAGGAGAACAGGAAGGCCAGGAGCGGCCGCAGGCTCCAGCAGATGACCAGGGGCAGGCGGCAGAAGAGGAGCAGAAGGCCGGAGCTCCGGACGAGGCTGTAAAACTTGGGGCGCTGGCTCGTGGGGGCGCAGCAACTGGCCCAGACGATGAAGGCCATGGTGGCCCCGAAGCCCACGCCCACCAGGGCCAGCAGCCAGACGATGCTGACTGAATAGTAGCGGACGCAGGTCAGCCAGCGAGCGCCCGCGGTCAGCATGCCGCAGGCATCGGCGGGCAGCAGCACGGCCGGCGGGGCGAGCGCCCAGGCCAGCGCGCACAGCACGGGCGAGGTGATCCGGGGGCGGCGGCGCTGGTAGCAGGCGACGCTGGACAGCCAGCCGTCCAGGCAGAAGCAGGCCAACACCCACAGCCCCACCGAGAACCACAGAAAGGTGATCACGAAGTAGAGGGCGCTGTCGGCCGAGCCCCGGAGGAGCTGGGCGCAGGAGAACCCCACCTGGCAGGAAAGGAACAGGAAGTCGGCGGCGGCCAGGTTGAGCAGGTAGAGGTTGAGGGCGCCTTTCTTGATGTGGAAAACCAGGTTCCAGATCAGGACGCCGTTGCCCGCCACGCCCCCCGCGCTGAGCACCAGCGTGATGTAGAAGATGACGTTGTTGAAGGCTGTCCACGGATTGAAGATATTGATCATCCTGGCCGGCCCAGAGGGCGTTCTGGGGTGACCCTGCCAAAGGGGGTGAGGGACAGATGCTGTGTGTCAGTGTCACAGCGTGGAGAACAGTGAGCAGGAGCTGTGGGCTTCGGGAGGGGACTCTCTGTCCAGTGCTCAGCTCCCTGGGCCTGGCGGTGGGCCTGCCCGGGGCCTTCATCTGTCCCTGGATGGACGAGGTGCACAAATCCCTGGCAGAGCTCCCCGGGACACTGTGGGGACACAGGGGAAGGGCCCCGCTCCTCTTCCATCCGGGCCCCAGGGCTCCTAGAGGATGAAAACACGGTTCCCAGCACCGTGCTCCAGGATCTGCCCAGACACTCGGTCTGGTGCTGGCAGGAAAGAGGTCCTGGTGGGCACTGGGGAGGGGGGAGGCCCGGCCTCCCTCACCCCTGCCAGCCCCAGGCCAGGCCCCCAGGAAAGAGGTCCTGGTGGGCACTGGGGAGGGGGGAGGCCCGGCCTCCCTCCCCCCTGCCAGCCCCAGGCCAGGCCCCCGTGCCCAGGCCCGTGGAAGGAGCGCAGCGTGGACACCACTCTGGAGACTCAGGCTTAGGGCAGGAGAAGCAGACCTGGGTGGAAGTCACCCAGGGGGAATGCCTGCCCGTGCTGTCCATGGATGTTTCCAGAACAGCAGCTCCCTTTCCTGCCCCCCTAGGACACTCATCCCTCCCTGTTCTGCTGCTGGAGGCAGCAGGCCCCAGGCCCTGGGGTCAGAGGGGCTGAGGAGGGAGAGTCTTGGGAGGGAGATGGAGAGATGGGAGGGAGGGAGGGAGACAGATACTAAGAGACAAGGGACGAACAAGAGAGAAAGAGGAAGGGCGGGAGGGAAGGAGATGGCATAATGGGGAGGGGGGAGATTGGAGAGGAGGCAAAGAAGGAAATAAAAAGGACAGAGTGCTGGACACTGGGGGCTCATGTCTCAGAAGGCTGAGATCTGAAGATCAGGGCTTGAACCCAGCGGGGGCAGGAAACTCTGAGGCTTATCTCCAATAAACTACTCAAAAAATTAAAAAAAAAAAGCCAGAAACAGCACTATGGCTCAAGGGGTAGAGCGCTCGCCTTGAGCAAAAGGAGCTCAGGGACAGTGCCCAGGCCCTGCGTTCAAGCCCCAGGACCCACTGGAAGAAAAAAAAAAAAAGGAGAGAAGAGAGGAGAGTCAGGGGGTCAGAGAGAGACGGAGACATGAGTCGAGGAACAGAGAATGAATGAGACAGAGAGACATAGAGTCCCAGACAGGGAAAACCCATGAGTCCTCGCATTCTCCTCCTACCTCTGCTCCAGCCGTGAACCTGCCGGAGCACGCTTAGGGCTCAGGCCCAGGCCCACCGGAGGCCCCGCACTCCCCTGCACTGTGGCCGAGGCCGTGATGACCGTCCCCCTGTGCCGGCTAGCAGGGTGGGACCTGGAGCTGGATGCTGGTGTCATGGTGGTCTGGGGGTGACAGGGGGTCAGACCCCTCTCCTGCCTGGATCTCAGTTTCCCCTGGGCACACGGGCCCCTGCACAGACCCTGGGCAGCCAGCAAGGCCGGCACGGGCAGCAAGGGCACAAGGCCGGCACGGGCAGGGCTCTGGTGAGTGGGGAAGGCCCTCTGGTGCTCTCAAAATGGGGATTTGAGTTGCTACCACCGACAGACCCAGAGCTTTCCAGAAGCTCTGCCCAGGCCCCCTTCCTCCACCTGCCGCCCACACTGCGTCCTCCCCTGATGTCCCGGGAGCTGCCCCGTCCACCTGCCAGTCCAGCCTGCAGCAGAGGTCCCGGGGAGCGGCAGGGACGGGCGGCTCACCGGCTCACAGGGGCAGTCTGTCCCCAGCTCTCGCTTCACACTCCCTGCTAGGCCTTCCGCTTCTCTCCAGCCGACCGGGGCCGTCCGTCCCCAGCTCTCTGTCCACAATCCCTGCCGGGGGGTCCTCCAGGGCCCTAAATCCTGTGATGTCCCCTGGGGCTTGGCTGGCTGGACCTGGCGGCCAGCGCCAGTTCCCTAGAAGTGGGAGGTGTGGTCATGAGCTCAAACGCTGTCACCGATAGTGTGGGCCGCCCTTTCCTTCCTCCTCGCCCATCAGGGAGGGAAGACTGAAGTGAGCAGCACGCCACCTATTCTGGAATGATCTTGAGACAGACAGATCCAAGGCGGCACAGCACAGCACAGCATGCTAATTTATTGGGGGGGTGGATTTGTTGATGCCAGTGGTCCAGGTGACTGGTACCCAGCGGATGTTGCAGTCTGACCAGAGAGGGACACAGAGATACGCGTGCTGGGGGCCAAGTGCGCTCTTCCTGGCCGGAATGCATTGCAGTGGGTGGGGTCCTGAAACTGGCCTCAGCCCCACACCCATGGGCCTCGGGCTGGGAGAGAGGCCACAGAGCTGCATACACACATACACACGCGTGTATACATATACACATACAAGCACACACGTACATACATATGGACACATCCGTGTGCATACACACAGGCACCCCCACATGCATGCACATGCACGGAGACAGAGCAAATGAGAATAACACCACGTTTCCCCGCCAGGAGCCCCAGGAGCCTCGCCAAGGACTCGGCCTCTTTCCTACGAAGACTGAGGACATTCATGTGGGATTTCACATGTGGCACAAAGCGGCTGCCTTCAGCTGGGCGCCGGTGGCTCACGCCTGTCCTCCTAGCTACTCAGGAGGCTGAGATCTAAGGATCGCAGTTCAAAGCCGGCCTGTGCAAGAAAGTCTCCGGCTGAAAATGGAGCTGTGGCTCAAGTGGAAGAGCATCATCCCTGAGCGTGGCGGGGTAGGCGGGGTGCCCTGGGCGGGCAGCAGCGAGGGCCCCTCCGGGGGGCCGCAGCGGAGCGAGCGTTTTCTTCCGCCCAAGCGCTGTAGTCTGCGTAGCCACTGGGTCTGCATGCGTTGGGCCACGGTAAGGCATCCCCGACCCCGAGACCACACGGCCTCCAGCCCAGCGGCGGGGTCCTGCACACGGTGTGCTCGTTGGTGCCCGCTGAGTCAAGCCCCCAAACTCGGGTCATCCTCACAAGCCGGTCCTGCATCTCTCCGACCGAGTCCCTCATTTGCGTGGTTCTGCATAGTGTCACCCTCTGTGCCACAGCGCGGTGATGTAGGTAATGGGGGGCCGTAGCCAGGGTCATGCACAGCACTGCTTGGGGCGTATGGACATTGCTCATGTCCCTCATGCTCACAGGCTTTGCTTCCGCCCACCCTCCAAGGCATTTATCTAGAACCTTCCAATCCTCCTCTTGCAGAAGGGATTGCCACCACGGTGGTCCAGATCACTGGAAAGAAGGATCTGTCCTCATGTCCAGCCGAAGCACACTTTGCCTCCAGCAAAGGAGACCCCGGAATCCCCGGACGTGCACAGCCGGGGGTGGGGAGCTGTCCTGCGGGGTGACAGCCCACATCCGTGCTGGGCAGCTTTTCCATCACACCTGGTGCTCCACAGCGCCACCTCCGGCTTTCTGGGGGTTCATTGGAGATGAGAGTCTCACGCACTTTCCTACCCAGGCTGGCTTGGAATTGTTTCCCTCAGATCTCAGCCTCCCGAGTAGCTGGGATGACAGGCATGAGCGCCTGCTTCATCAGAACAACCGAGTCCCCAGCACTTTACTGACCAACATGGGGGTGTTGGGGAAGCAGACGGCCGAGGGGACTCCGTGGCTCCCAGTGACCCTGGCCACCTCTCAGAGTCTGGCACCGCCTAGACACTGCCGGCATGGTGGCGGGACTCTGGGTCAGAGAGGGAAGGGTCTGGGCTGCGAGAGAGCCAGGAGTCCTGAAACGGCGTGAGACTGAGCCAGGTTCCCACCCGGGGCTGAGGGTTGGCTGACGTGGTCCAGGCTTCATAGTGGACCAGCAAAACCTGAGCATCCAGCAAGGGGTGGTAGCAGCGGGCAGTGGAGACGTGGTTGGGGCCGCTGGCCCCTGCTCCCGGAGCACAGGCTGCCCCTCTGCAGTGGGAGGGCCCGGGCTACGCTGGCTTCTTAGAGTGTGTGGCTGTGGCCCAGGGCTGACGTCCTGTTCCCGGGAACTCTGTCCTGCCAGAGCAGCCCTGGCGGGTCCGGGACCAGCCCCAGGCCTGGGATCCCCCACTCCCCACCCATCTGCCTTGCTGAGGCCTGGGAGGGGGAAGCTCTTAGCAGTCAGCCTCACGCAGGGTGAGGGAGGCCTCCACACCCGTCCCTGTGGCTCCAGGAGCAGAAGAGGGGGTACAGCAGGGGTGGGGGTTGTGTTCACTGGCTGGACCTGGAGCTTGCTGCCCACTGGGAGGACAGACTGTCTGAGCACTGGATGGGAGCAGGTCTGAGCTTAGACAGCTGGTCACTGGCCCTGGAGACTGCATACGCCTGTGGTCATACCCTGGCAGGTGTGGGGGGGGAGGGAGGTAGCTGTTTCCATGGAAACCTCAGGAGGAAGCTGCACCTTTGGTCCTGCTCAGGAAGGAGCCCTGTTCACAAGGCCCAGGAAGGAGAGTCTGCGCATCCTCCAGTCCCTGGGTGCTCTCTGGAGGAGGGGCTGGTGCAGGGTCCCCAGGGAGCAGCTGAGGTGACTCCAAGTCAGAGTTATACTTCTTCTGTGTGTGTGTGTGTGTGTGTGCATACACACATGCATGTGTACATGCACACCAATCAAGTGTGTGCACATGCCAATCCTAGGGCTTGAACTCAGGATTTGGGTGCTGTCCCTGAGCTTTGATGCTCAAGGTGAGTGCTCTACCTTGAGTCACAGCACCACTTAGGACTTTTTGGTGATTAACTGCAGATGAGAATTTCAAGGCCTTTCCTGTCCAGGGTAGCTTTGAACCACAAACCCACCCCACAAGTGTGGAGCCCAGAGCATGGGCCTCAGGCGTGGGGCGTGGACCTTGGAGTGAGTCAGCCTTCCTCTGGTATCACCCTCTGTTACACCCTGGTGTAAACAAGCAGCGATAGCGGGAGGCGGCTGCTGCTTCGGGCAGCCCTGGGGCAGCGGAGAGCCGGTGGGGCCCAGGCGGGCACCGGCCGTGTGGACCCGCGCACCCCGTGGGAGGGCCCAGAGATTTCTCTGGAAGACTGTCTCCCCCAGAGAGCTGTCCGGGGACGCTGGGACAACACTGAGACACAGGAGGAGCTCATCATCAGAGGCCTCCCGCCGATGGCATCCCTTCCCCACGGTGGGCAGTGCCCCGAACCCGAGGGGGCGGGATCCACAGGGGGGGCCCTCAGACGGCGATGTCCACGAGGCCCCTGCGGGAGGCGTCCCTGTGGGCCCCCAGCTCCGCCTCGTCCCCCAGGGCGCGCTGCAGCACCCGCCGGAGGGGCTCTCGCAGCCTCTGGCCAGGCGCGCTGCCCAGGCCGAAGTAGACGGCGGGCTTGGCTGCGCTGTGCACGGAGGCCAGGAGGAAGCTGAAGTGGTAGAAATGGGGAGGGATGCGCCAGTGCAGGCTGCCGGACAGCCAGTAGATGCCAAAGGGCAGGCCGCAGAAGAGGAAGAGGAGGGCGGCCAGCAGGACCAGGGCGGGGAAGCCGCGGGGCTGGGCGCGCTGCGGGCCTCGCTCGGTCCGCAGCAGCAGCAGCAGGCTGCTCCCGCACAGCACGCAGCACAAGGCCCCCAGCAGCGCGGCCGTCGCCAGCCACAGCGCCCCGCACAGCCGGCCGCTGGGCGCCCCGAAGACCAGGGTGCAGCTGCCGCTGAGCAGCAGGTCCAGCAGCAGGCAGAGCACCCAGGTGAGCGCGCACACGCACGTGGCGAGGTAGCGGGGCCGGCGGCACAGGTACCAGGCCGGGAAGAGGGCGTCCAGACACTGCTCCGTGCTGATGGCCGCCAGGAGGCCCAGGCCCACGAGGTAACAGAAGAAGCGCAGCGTGCTCAGGGAGGCCTGGAGCAGGTACGGGAAGTGCAGCCGGCCGGGCAGCAGGTCGGGGACCATGGCCACCATGTGGCAGCCCAGGAAGAGGAGGTCGGCGCAGGCCACGTCCAGGAGGTAGATGGAGAAGGGGTTCCTGTAGACATGGCGGCTGAGGAGCCACAGCACCGCCCCGTTCCCCAGCAGCCCCCCCAGGCCGAGGAGCTCGGTGAGGGACAGCATCGCCAGGTTAAACGGCATATCCGAGTCCTGGCTGAGGGCGGACTCCAGGTCGCGTCTGGCATCTCTCCCTTCCATCATGGACGGAGTACGAAGGTTGGAGACTCAGGAAGCCGGGCACGGCTGCTCCGCTCTCTCCTGACGCCCTGGAGCAAAAGGACACCTGAGTCTCGTGCCCAGGAGCCCACCACCCTGCCCACACCGGAGGAGACACAAGGAGCACGGCGTGAGCTGGAGGGCAGCCGCCTGCCCGCCCAGCCCGCCCGCCACCCAGCCCTGTCACCTGACCTCGCTAGACCTCCCAGGCGAAGGCTCTTTCCTGAAAGGTTTCCACCAGCACTTAAGCCCCAGTCCCCCGGGGCCTCTAATGGAGCTTTCAGCAGGATGGACCCCACAGCCTGCGGGGTGGGGGGGTTGGGGGGGTGGGAATGAGCCCGCGACACCCTGCTGCTCCTCAAAAGCAGCCTGGCTTGATTCAACGTGGAGAGTTAAGCCGGCACTGGTGGCTCACGCCTGTCACCCTAGCTACTCAGGAGGCTGAGAGCTGAGGATCACAGTTCAAAGCCAGCCCGGGCAGAAAAGTCCGTGAGACTCTTATCTCCAATAAACCACTAGAAAACCTAGAAGTGGCGCTGTAGCTCAAGTGGTAGAGCGCTCGCCTTGAGCTGAAGAGCACAGGGACAGCGCCCAGGCCCAGAGTTCATGCCCCACGACTGACAACCCCCCCACTCCAAAAAAAAAGGCAGCAGGCTGTCTGGGAGAGGGGTGGCCTAGGGTCCGGCAGCCCTGGCATGGCTTAAACAGCTCAACTCTTCCAGGCCTTTCTTCCACCAGCCTGGCCAGGGTGGGGACCCCAGGCCGCCATGCCACGCCGTGTCCCCACGTCCAGTCCTCTCTGACCTCGGCTGTCACGTTCCTCTCCCGCCCACCCCCTTCCCTTGGGGGAGGGGTGCCCGGCCCTGTGGTGATGCTGAGCTGGGTGCCAGCTTCCTGCTGCCCCTGCCTGGAGCTGGCCAGGTGGAGGATTCTGGAGGTGGCGCCGGTTCTGCTGAACACCAACACCTGTGGCAAGATGGCATGCACGGGCGGCCCCTGCTCCCGCCCAGCTCCCGCCCCTGCGCGTGTCCCCCCTGCCCTGCCCCCCCACTCCTGCCCCTGCCGCGTGCCCCCCTGCTCCGCCCCCCCACTCCTGCCCCTGCTGCGTGCCCCCCCTGCTCCGCCCCCCACCCTTGTCAGGAGGGGACCCCAGCAGGCAGTGGGACAGGACCCCACAGTACTGGCCCCTCCTCCCCTCGGACAGCCGGGCGGGGCGGCCTGGAAGGAGGAGAGGCGAGGCGTTAGCGCACCCACGCCAGAGCCGTCCCCGCCACACACTGCCGGTCCACGCAGAGCTGCCTCCACCGCCCAGCCAGGCTTTGCCCTGCGGGAGCCCGCTGGCTTCTCCGGCCCTGTGTGGGGCTTGGCACCCACTCCCCAGCCCCCTCGTGTACCCACAGGAGCCTGTGTGCCGAGGGTCCGGGCAGCGGCTGGGGACACACGCACCCAGGGGAGAGCCTGACCTGGAGGGGAGAGGGGAGCCATCCCAGGAGGGGGGCAGGTGGGGGGGTTGGAGGAGGAGGCAGGCAGGGGAGGAGGGGAGCGGGAAGGTAATTGGGGGTCCTGGTGTGAGTGATGCAGGCAGGCCGGGGGCGCCTGGCCTCTCTGGGGCCTGGGCAGGGGCTCTGGGGCAGGGCTGGGTGTGCTCCGTGTGTGAGGCTGCGGCAGTTGGCTGTGGGATCTGGGGCCATGGAGGAGCCTGGCGCTCGGAAGGGGCAGGGGTGCAGGGGGAGGAGCAGACGATCTGGTATTCACTCCATCCCTGGCTGGGAATCCCAGGCTTGGGGAGGGTAGGGGTGTGGTCCTGCCAGGGCCTGAATGCACAGGGCAGCAGCAGCGTCCAGGCCCCTGGAGAGAGCTCCCCACCCCCCCTGCCCCCTCTCCCAGCCCCCTCTCTACCCCAATATGAGGCACGGTGTCTGCAGGGAGTGTGATGGGGGACACCACCTCTGCTGGAGGACCGGGCCTTGTGCTGCGTCCCCCTCCCGGCCCTGGCTCAGCCCAGCCCAAGTCAGAGGGCAGAGGCCAGGCCTCCACCCACTGCCGGCCTCCCCCATGCAGCCGGCAGACCAGAGGGCAGACACCCAGGGGATGCTGAGCTCCAGGACCGGCCCCGGGTCCTCCCCTGCCCACAGGCCGCCCTGGCCGCCTACCGTTCCGGGTCCTGCCCGCTCCAAGCCTGAGCCTGGCTGGGCAGCGGCTCCAGCGCCAGCTCGAATCACACGGCATCCGCCGGGCCGGGCCCGGAAGGAGCCTCTCTGGAGACCTTACTCCTCTTCAGGGCTCGGCTGCTGTCCAAGGATGGGCAGAAAGCGAAGGCCAGCTCCGCGCAGTCTTCCAGGCAGAGGCACGTGGGGGACTTGGGGGGGGCAGGGGGCGGGGCCGTGCGGTGATGGGCAGAAAGCGAAGGCCAGCTCCGCGCAGCCTTCCGGGCAGAGGCAGGCACGTGGGGGACTCAGGGGACTGGGGGGGGGGTGCGGCGGTGACTTCACCTCTCCTCACCAGGCCCAGAGAGACCACTTCTCCCTGGGCCGCGTCCTGGCAGAGAACAAACAGCCTTGTCCGTGGCCATGCTCAGGAATTCAGTGCGCTCTGCTTGTCCGAAAAGGGACAAATCTCATAACGCTGTCCTCTGACTCCCTGCTGTTAAGGAGATCCTCGATGGCAGAGGGATTGAGAGAAAGAGACAGAGACAGGTAGATTGAGAGGGAGAGAGAGAGAGACAGAGACAGAGACAGAGACAGAGACAGAGACAGGTAGATTGAGAGGGAGAGAGCGCGCACACACGCAAGTGCAGATTTTAGCTCTTAGGCCTCCAAGACCCAGGTCCCAGCAACTCTTTCTCTACCTTTGTGCAGTGAAAACAAAACAAAACAAAACAAAAAAACAAATTTAGAACCAGAGAAAAACCAGGTGAAAAAGTACAGCAGAGGGTCGATCAGCTGCACTGGACATGGATGAAAGTGAACTGAGCAACTCAAGGGCGGCGATGGGAGGGCGGGAAGGAGAGGGAGAGAGGGAGCTGCTGAGGCTAAGCAAAAGGAAAGAAATGCACACACCACCCGCTGTGGAAGAAATCGTTACATTGTCAAAGTCTGTAGAGTTCCTAAGCTTTGTAGATCTAGATAATGACAATTAGCACTGTGAAGGTTAAAATGTGTCAGTGACTTTAGCTAAGTATCACTACGCCACAATACTGTGAAATTTATGTAATTACCTAAACTCAATAAAGAAAAGAAAATCCACGTTTACGGAAGGCTTGGTAGAGGAGCGCCAAAGGTGCGGAGTTCGGGTGTCCCACAGCAGCTGCCGGCGCCCTGGGCGCTGTGTCAACTCCATGCAGGAAGTCTATTTACCTGTTGGTTTTGACACTGGGGTTTGAACCCAGGGCTTCCTGCTTGCCAGAATGGTGCTCTACCACTTGAGCCACACCCTCAGTCTCCTTTATCTTTTCACTTACTTTTTTTTTAGGCAGGGTCTTGTACTTTTCCCCAGGTGGCCCTTAGACGGCGATCCTCTGACCAGCACCTTCCGAGTTCAGGGATTATAGAAGTAAAGCCATACCTGACTTGTTTGTTAAGATGGGGGTCTGGCTTTTTTTTGGCCTATTTTGACTTCTTGATCCTCCTTTCTCTGTCTCCCAAGTAGCTGTGATGACAGGCATGAGCCACCATACCCAGCCTTATTAATGTCTTCACCTGTGCTGTAGCTCTACCTGCCTACAGGCTGGAGCAAGGTGCAGCTCCGACAGTCCCTCCGGACATGCGTGTGGGCGTTTCCGAGCCCTGGCATCCTCCGTCACACTGGGAAATCGAACGCCAGAGACGTGCTGGTCCTGACATCCACTGAGCCATCGGTGCAGATTCTGCCCCTCAGCTCCACATCCCACGCCCTCCCTTCTCCCCTCCCCCAGGGCTGGCTCGTGGGGGTGGGGCTGTGGCTGTTCCCTGCAGGCCCTGCTCCCTCCGCGTTCTCCCTTTTGCTTTGCTTCGGCCTCCGTCTGTGAACTTTCCCTGCCTGGTAGCAGAAGCTGGTTCCCCTGTGTGTGGACTTCAAGCTCTTGAAAAGTCAACTCCTTTTCTCCTGTTTGCAACACTGGCTAGCAGCTGGTCAGCCTCCTGCTCCCTGGAGGTCTGCTGAGACTGGCCCTCTGACGCTCCGCTCCGTGTACCTGCCCAGGACGGGTCCCAGGGAAGCGGGGACCTTGGCTCCACTGTCGCCATGGGGCTGTGACAATGGCAAAGGGGGTGGGTGGCCCACGCCGTGTGTGCCATGATAGGAATCAGAAGGACGCTGGTGCTGGGCTGGGTCGGTGGGACCCTCTGGCGGCGGGGCGTCTGCCCACGGGGGCGTTGAGGGCTGAGACGCTGGGCCGTACCTGGGGAGGACCTGGAGCTCACAGAGAAAACCATGGCTCCTGCTTCTGGCTACACAGGGTGTCTCATAAAAAGAACTAGCAGCCCCAAGCCGTGCCCGTGGACGTGATCAGTGTGGGGTGGCGTCCCTGGGTCCCGCCCAGGTGAGACCACCTCATGGCTCACTGGCTGTGCGGAGGGCAGCCAGCTGCAGGACAGGAAGGAGAAAGCCAGAGCCTGGGCCTCCACTGAGATCACAGGAGCCCAGAAAGACAGGAAGTTAAAAAAAAAGCTTACACAATGGGTCAATAAGAGGGAAACCAATGTCATCTGCACTGTTTTATTTAAAGATTAGTAAAACTGAACAGCTTGAAGTGGGCCGATTCAGAAGAGAGAAAATGATAGAGGCAGAGCCATGGAGTCCCGACATTAATTGATGCCAGGGGCTGTGTGCCAACACATCCGGCCAAACTCCTTGAAAGACACAAAGCAAAACATGTGGCGATCTCAGCCCAAGCAAGCGAGCTTGGAATTCAACTCCTTTCACCCTGGTGGTACCGGGGTTTGAACTCAGGGCATTCTCCCACTGTGTCACGCCTCCAGCCCCTAACTGGAAGCTTTCTCTCCAGT